TTCACCAGCAATTTCTGGCGGAACCTTTGGCAGCAGTTCGGCACAAGTCTACAGTTCAGCTCATCGTACCACCCCGAAACTGACGGACAAACGGAACGGACAAACCAGGCCATGGAACAGTTAATCTGAGCCACGTGCGACGACCCAATGACGTGGAAACAACAACTGCCACTCATCGAATTCGTGTACAACAACTCCCCATCGGCCACGACCCAACAGTCACCATTCTACCTGAACTACGGACAAGTGTCAGATTATGTTATTTGTCTAGCCTGCAGTGGGGTGCTCAATAGTGAGTACAACCCCTTAGGGTTTCCTATATGTATCCTGCTGCTTGCTAGTTCAACTCATCATTCCCATTCTCACTTCTCCAATTCTCCTTCGTATACCACAAACCCTAGTCCTAGGGCACATCCTACTACCTCTTAGTGTGGGCCTAGGCTACTAAGCCTAGGCCCCACTCCTAGTATTCCTGACATGGTATTCAGAGCAGGCACGTTCCTGCCGCCTTCCTGTATGGGCCCACCACCTGCTTCCGCTGCCGTACTGTCCGCCGCGCGCCCCGTGGTGCGCGGCGGCCAAACCCTAATTTTTCATCCCGCCGTGCGCTCGGGGCGTACGGCGGTTTTCTGCCCGCCGTGCGCCCCGAGGCGCGCGGCGGTTTTCTGCCCGCCGTGCGCCCCGAGGCGCGCGGCGGCTTTCTGCCCCGTCACTCCGCGAGTCGCCCCCGGGAGGAGCTGCGACGGGCGACGGGGACCCGCGCGTCGCCCCCCGTCGCCCGTCGTGGCCCGAGCGACCTCCGTAGGGCCCGCGCGCGGCCCGTCCAGCCTGCGCGCGGCCCGTACGGGCTGCGCCAGGCCCGCGCGCGGCCCGTACGGACTGCGCCAGGCCATGGCGCACCTCGAGCCGCCCGCCACTGCAGCAGCAGCCCCTGGAGCCGCCCGCAACTGCAGCAGCAGCCCCTGGAGCCGCCAGCACCTGCAGCAGCAGCCCCTGGAGCCGCCCGCAACTGCTGCAGCAGCCCCTGGAGCCGCCAGCAACTGCAGCAGCAGCCCCTGGAGCCGCCAGCAACTGCAGCAGCCGCCCCTGGAGCAGCCGCCCCTGGAGTCGCCCGCCACTGCAGCAGCCGCCCCTGGAGCCGCCCGCCACTGCAGCAGCCGCCCCTGGAGTCGCCCGCCACAGCAGCAGCCGCCCCTGGAGCAGCCGCCCCTGCAGCAGCCGCCCCTGGAGCCGCCCGCCACTGCAGCAGCCGCCCCTGGAGTCGCCCGCCACAGCAGCAGCCGCCCCTGGAGCAGCCGCCCCTGCAGCAGCCGCCCCTGGAGCCGCCCGCCACTGCAGCAGCCGCCCCTGGAGTCGCCCGCCACAGCAGCAGCCGCCCCTGGAGCAGCCGCCCCTGCAGCAGCCGCCCCTGGAGCCGCCCGCCACTGCAGCAGCCGCCCCTGGAGTCGCCCGCCACAGCAGCAGCCGCCCCTGGAGCAGCCGCCCCTGCAGCAGCCGCCCCTGGAGCCGCCCGCCACTGCAGCAGCCGCCCCTGGAGTCGCCCGCCACTGCAGAAGCCGCCCCTGGACTCGCCCTACCCTACCTGCTCCGCGCTGTTGCTCTGCACGCGCGGTTGCCCGCGCCCTCGTGCGCTCTACCCTACCTGCTCCGCGCTGTTGCTCTGCACGCGCGGTTGCCCGCGCCCTCGTGCGCTCTACCCTACCTGCTCCGCGCTGTTGCTCTGCACGCGCGGTTGCCTGCGCCCTCGTGCGCTCTCCCGCCCCGGCCCTCCCCCCCCCCCCCCCTGCGTCCCCTGGACAGGAGGGTGTGGGGGTGGCGGGTGTGGGGGTGCTCCTTGTGCGTCGCCCCTTCCTTCTCCTCCGTCTCCCACTGCTGCAGCTGCCGCTGCGGGGGGGGTGGATGTGTGGGAGACGAGGGAGTGGCGCTAGGGGGGTGATGTGGGCGAGGAGCGAGTGGTGACCCTGGGGGTGTGTGTAGGGGGGAGTGAGACAGTTGGAGGAGGTTGCAGCCTGGTGCTCCTGGTGCCCGTGTGTCTGCAACTTCAGTCGTCGCCTCCTCTCTTCTCTCCCTCCACAGTTCCTCCTCCTCCTCACTGGCCTCCTGTGACTGCCACTAGCTTTGCTGATAATTGTGAACTATTGCTGTGACTTCTCACGTGTGCTGATTACACCCCACTTTGGCTATGGGGGTGTGTCAGATTATGTTATTTGTCTAGCCTGCAGTGGGGTGCTCAATAGTGAGTACAACCCCTTAGGGTTTCCTATATGTATCCTGCTGCTTGCTAGTTCAACTCATCATTCCCATTCTCACTTCTCCAATTCTCCTTCGTATACCACAAACCCTAGTCCTAGGGCACATCCTACTACCTCTTAGTGTGGGCCTAGGCTACTAAGCCTAGGCCCCACTCCTAGTATTCCTGACAACAAGACCCCACAGTACCCATGATCCCAAATCCCGACAATCCGGTACCACGCGCCCAACTACACAAATTTTACAAGCAGCACGGACCCGCGCAACAGACGCAATAAAAATTTCGAACATAATTGCTAAACGCAACGCCGACCGCCACCGCCGCCCCATCACTTACCAGCCAGACGACCTCGTTCTACTCGATACCCAGAACCTCCGCCTGCCCGTCACCCCAAAACTCCGCCCCCGATATTGCGGGCCATTTCGCATCAGCCACATGATCACACCCGTCACCGCCCACCTCCTCCTCCCTGCTGACTGGTACGTCAGCCCGTCATTCCACGTCAGCCTGCTTCGCCTATATGTCCCATCCACCAGCCAACTGCCTCGCAACCGCCCAGCCAGCATGACACGACCACCCACAGAACCAATCATCACACCTGAAAAAATCTTGAGCCACCGAGTTCGTGACCCACTTGGAGCTTGCATGATCAAGTTTCTGATCCGGTGGAAAGACCACACACCCACCGAAGAGAACTGTGTACCCCTGGATAGAGTTGAAAATCACCCTGTCCTCACCGAGTATCTGCGCAGCCGAAATTTCCGGGATGTAATGCACTCTCGTAAGGAGGGCCTCCTTTGGGGGGGGGGAGTGTAAGGAAAATTCCTTTTCCTTACTTCGCACCCTGCTTAGTGCGTACACTACTGTTCCCGCCACACAGTGCACCATTATCACTCACGACATTCGCCTCGACCACATTCCTGCCACTACACCCGTCCCGACCCAACCTCACGGCTCGGCTGGTAACCCGCACTCCGGGCCTCCGCCTCAACAGTCCCAACCTCAGTCCCTATCTCAGTCAGAGGCCTATGGCGCATCTCCCACAGTTTGTTACCGTTACCCGTGTGGACTTTCGCTATATAATTCTCGCTAATGCCTTTGCTCAATGCACTTTTTTCCTCCATAGTGCAATTCTCGCTTGCTCGCTCAATTGCACCCACAACATTTTCCCTGATGCTCGATCGAAACTGATCGTGGGAATGGGGCAATCTTCAGTTGCATCAGGATGATGAGTCTGGATGACGGGGCTAGCCGGCATAGGGGCGGACCCCCACCCAACACGTTGGTGGGGCCAAATCGTTGGCTAGAAAATATTGAGAGCTAGCTCTCACCCTTCAGCTGGGCATCTTGGGGCCTGCATGATAGGTCGGGAGAAGGGGAACGGAGGGAAAGCTAGTAGCGTGACTGCCGCAGTCATTCCGCGCGTCGTGTCAGTATCATCGAGCGAGCATGGGGGCAGCAGTAGTAATATCATCCCTATAATATTCAGCATCATCATCATCCTTCTCGGGGTCCTCGTCGATTTGCCTTCGCCGCACAGTAGTAGTACCTCCTCAGAATTCGAAGGTGATTTGGGAGACTACTCAAACTCCCCATCACCTCTGCCTCGCGCGACTCATAAGCCTTCCCGCGCTGCTCCTCGTCCTCCTGCTCTTCCCCATCATCCCAACCCTTGCTCGCTTGCCCTTCGAACCCCTCAACCACACGCCGCGGGACCGCGGCCTATCACACTCCGCCACGTCAGAAACCTCCCCGCTGCGGCTACTCCCACCTCCGCCCGTTGCCGCCGCGCTACGGCTGGCCGTGGACAAAAATCGCCGCAGTGAGGCGAGTCGCGTGCGCGGAGGAAATTCATTCAAGAAGTTTTTGCAGCAGTCAAAGGCGCCGCGCGACGCAAGACAGCAGATGGGAAATGGCGAGTGGGCGGGTGGAGGAAGGCTGCAACTGGGGGAGGGCGATCATGATGCTATGCTGGTTACCGCGGCGCTGAAGGGGAGGCGGCGACTGGGGGAGGGCGGTGGTGACATGCACGCGAGGCTGGCACCGCTGTGGGACATGGCGAGCCGCGTGGCGGTCAACGGGACTGTCGTCATCGTGTCCGCCAACGCAGGCGAGTGACATGGTGTCAGCAGGAGCTTCTTATGAGATCAGCTGTTGTTTTGGAATTGGTACTCGGAAAAGCAACGGTCACGTAGCGAGCAACGGGTCGGATGGGCGCCCTCTATTGTGCTATTCTGTCGTGTTGTATCATATCGTATCGTGTCGTGTCGTGTCGTGTCATGTCATGACGTATCGTGTCGCGTCGTATCGTGTCGTATCGTCTCGTGTCGTGTCCTATCGTGTCGTGTTGTGTGTTGTGTGTCATGTCGTGTCGTGTCGTGTCGTGTCGTGTCGTGTCGTGTCGTGTCGTGTCGTGTCGTGTCGTATCGTGTCGTCTCGTATCGTATCGTACCGTACCGTACTGTGTCGTACCGCACCGTACCGTGTTGTATCGTATCACATGACATGCTGGCAAGACAGGACTACGCTCGCTCCCTTCCTTCCCTCCAGGTTTTGGTTTCCTTAAAACGGAGGGCCAAGAAGGCCTAAATTGGTTCAACCTTCCTAACTTCGGTTGAGTTCGGCCCTGACACCCAAAATCTCGGCCAATTGCATTGCTCGCCCCAACCAAACTTCCTAAGGTTGAACTTCTTGGCCCGCGGGTTTTAAGCCCTCTCCTCCTCTTCGCCGATGACCAGGCCACAAGGAGATGTTGGAGAACTGGGCGCTGCATGCGGACAAGGTGGGGCTGCGAGGGCACTACATCATCTTTGCTGCGGAGAGGCAGTGCTTCGACTTCGCCAACCACAAGTGGCCGGGGCAGGTGGGTTTTGAGGCATGGATGAGGCAGATGGGTAGACAAGAAGTGGCCGCTTCCGCCTCTCACTGCTCTCCTCCTATGCCCACCTTGCTCTGCTTCAAAACCTACTCCCATTCTTCGCCCCCTTCTCCCCTTGCTCTCCCTGCTACTGCTGCTGCTGCTACTGCTGCTGCTACTGCTGCTGCTGCTGCTGCTACTGCTGCTGCTGCTGCTGCTGCTGCTGCTGCTGCTGCTGCTGCTGCTGCTGCTGCTGCTGCTGCTGCTGCTGCTGCTGCTGCTGCTGCTGCTGCTGCTGCTGCTGCTGCTGCTGCTGCTGCTGCTGCTGCTGCTGCTGCTGCTGCTGCTGCTGCTGCTGCTGCTGCTGCTGCTGCTGCTGCTGCTGCTGCTGCTGCTGCTGCTGCTGCTGCTGCTGCTGCTGCTGCTGCTATTCCTGCGGCCTTCCCCCTGGGCCCCCCAGGTACTTCTCCTGGACGTGGAGAACCAGTTTGTGCAAAAAGACCAACTTAACCTCCCCACCCCTTTGCTGCCCCCTCCTCCTCCCCTCCTGCCCCCTCCTCCTCCCCTCCCCTCTTCCCCCAGGCACTTCTCCTCGACTTAGAGGACCAGTTTGTGCAAAAAGACCAACTTAACCTCCCCACTCCAATGCTTCCCCCTCCTCCTCCCCTCCGTTCTTTCCCCAGGCACTTCTCCTCAACTTAGAGGACCAGTTCGTGCAGCAGGATGGAAACGTGGACCTGTCCCAAGAAATCGGATACCATTCCGCGGGCTTCCTTCGAGTGGCGTCTCGCAGGGCCGTCTACATCGTGCACCTCCTCGCCTTTGGCTTCTCCGTCCTCTACTCCGATATCGACCTCGCTCTCCTGCAAAACCCCCTCCCATTCTTCGCTCCTATCTCCTCCTCCGCTGCCTCCTCCTCCCCCTCCTCTTCCACCCCTGCACCGGACTCCGGCTCCCCTCCTGCCGCTGCCCTGCCGAAAGAATTCGACATGTTCATCACCGCAGATCAAGCCTGGACGGACGGCCCAGATCACACGGTCAGTCTGGGCGAGCCAGGGCTGCCGGAGGTCATGTGCTCGTGCTTCCTCTTCTTCCGGCCCACATTGGGAGCCAAGGCGCTTGTTTCCCTGTGGGCGTACAGCATGGTGGTGAAAGGGAGTGGGGTGGCCAACGAGAACGACCAGCACCATCTGGGCCATGTCCTCGCAATGATGAGAGAGCCAGGGATTGACGCGAATATCGGCGTGCTGCCCGGGAAAAAGTTCCCGTCGGGTGAGCTGATGAAAGAAAATATGACGAGATTCTTGGAGATGAAGGCGGGGGTGGTGATGGTGCATGCGAACTATGTGGTGGGGAAGCGGAGTAAGATTGATCGGCTGATTGAGGCTGGGGTGTGGCTGCTGCCGCCTCCCCCAAACGAGGGAGAGGAGGAGGAGGGGCAGGGAGGCGAGGAAGGGGAGGAGGAGATGGAGAGGCGGTTGATGGGAGTGGCGGAGTGGGTACCATCACATGTGGATGCGGTGGTGAGGCTGGCACCTGGTGTGGCCCGGGATGGGCCGCTCATTCTCACCGTGCTCTGCCATGGTATGGCCATAGTGGGTGGGTGGATGGGTGGTTGTTGAGTGAGTGGTGGTTGGTTGGGTGGATGGGTGGAAGGCCCAACATCTGTGGTGCAAGTGAGTTTTGAGGCGACTGTGGGTGGTGCACGTGGTGTCACCTATACATTTGGTATGCATGCTGTGGTGCTTGCATGCTGTGGTGGTTGCATGTTGTGGTGGTATGCATGCTGTGGTGGTATGCATGCTGTGGTGGTATGCATGCTGTGGTGGTTGCATGCTGTGGTGGTATGCATGCTGTGGTGGTTGCATGCTGTGGTGGTATGCATGCTGTGGTGGTTGCATGCTGTGGTGCTTGCATGCTGTGGTGGTATGCATGCTGTGGTGGTATGCATGCTGTGGTGGTATGCATGCTGTGGTGGTTGCATGCTGTGGTTAGACATGATCAATCGAGGCGAGTTTTAGCTCGACTCGCTGGCTCGACTCGACTTTAGGTCGAGTCGAGTCAGTTATTTTATTTTCCTGACTCGAGTAGAGTCGAGTCGAGTCGAATTGAGGAGAAATCTCGATGCATCGCCCGACTCGACTTTGGACAGTCTGGTGAGCCACGAGTCGGCGAGTCGGCTGACTCGATTCGAGCTTGGCTGACTCGAGGGCCACCAATTTTATCCACGTGTATTCCCATTGTCAATCCCCCCTCCTTTCCTCATGCAATTTCCTCCGTCACTGAATCTCCAACCATCACTCACAATTTCCGCTCGACACGCAAATCCCCCCCGACACCCAATTTTTGTCTGTCACGCAATTCCCCCGGCACCCAATTTCCGCCCGTCACAATTTTGGGTGCGCATCAATTTACCTGTGCGGAAAGGGGAAGAAACAGGATTTCGTCATTCCTACCTTGCATGCAGGCTGCGAATCAGAACACGACTTTTGGGGCCCTTGAAAACTCTTTAAGGTTAATTCGAGTCAAGACTGACTCGCGAGTTGATGACTCGTGCTCGAGTCAAGGCCTGACTCGACTTCAGAAGTCGAGCACGAGTCGGCAGTTCGAGAAAACTGACTCGACTATGGCTCGACTCGACTCGACTCGACGCAACTCCCGACTCGACCGCGACTCGAGGTGACTCGACTCGACTCGACTCGTGATCATGTCTAGCTGTGGTGGTTGCATGCTGTGGTGGTTGCATGCTGTGGTGGTATGCATGCTGTGGTGGTTGCATGCTGTGGTGGTATGCATGCTGTGGTGGTTGCATGCTGTGGTGGTATGCATGCTGTGGTGGTATCCATGCTGTGGTGGTATGCATGCTGTGGTGGTATGCATGCTGTGGTGGTTGCATGCTGTGGTGGTTGCATGCTGTGGTGCTTGCATGCTGTGGTGGTTTGCATGCTGTGGTGGTATGCATGCTGTGGTGGTATGCATGCTGTGGTGGTATGCATGCTGTGGTGGTTGCATGCTGTGGTGGTTGCATGCTGTGGTGGTTGCATGCTGTGGTGGTTGCATGCTGTGGTGGTTTGCATGCTGTGGTGGTATGCATGCTGTGGTGGTATGCATGCTGTGGTGCTTGCATGCTGTGGTGGTATGCATGCTGTGGTGGTATGCATGCTGTGGTGGTATGCATGCTGTGGTGGTATGCATGCTGTGGTGCTTGCATGCTGTGGTGGTTTGCATGCTGTGGTGGTATGCATGCTGTGGTGGTATGCATGCTGTGGTGGTATGCATGATGTGGTGGTATGCATGCTGTGGTGGTATGCATGCTGTGGTGGTATGCATGCTGTGGTGGTATGCATGCTGTGGTGGTATGCATGCTGTGGTGGTTGCATGCTGTGGTGGTTGCATGCTGTGGTGGTTGCATGCTGTGGTGGTTGCATGCTGTGGTGGTTGCATGCTGTGGTGCTTGCATGCTGTGGTGGTATGCATGCTGTGGTGGTATGCATGCTGTGGTGGTATGCATGCTGTGGTGGTATGCATGCTGTGGTGGTTGCATGCTGTGGTGGTATGCATGCTGTGGTGGTATGCATGCTGTGGTGCTTGCATGCTGTGGTGGTATGCATGCTGTGGTGGTATGCATGCTGTGGTGGTTGCATGCTGTGGTGGTTGCATGCTGTGGTGGTATGCATGCTGTGGTGCTTGCATGCTGTGGTGGTATGCATGCTGTGGTGGTATGCATGCTGTGGTGCTTGCATGCTGTGGTGGTATGCATGCTGTGGTGGTATGCATGCTGTGGTGGTTGCATGCTGTGGTGGTTGCATGCTGTGGTGGTATGCATGCTGTGGTGCTTGCATGCTGTGGTGGTATGCATGCTGTGGTGGTATGCATGCTGTGGTGGTATGCATGCTGTGGTGGTATGCATGCTGTGGTGGTATGCATGCTGTGGTGGTTGCATGCTGTGGTGGTTGCATGCTGTGGTGGTTGCATGCTGTGGTGGTATGCATGCTGTGGTGGTTGCATGCTGTGGTGGTATGCATGCTGTGGTGGTTGCATGCTGTGGTGGTATGCATGCTGTGGTGGTATGCATGCTGTGGTGGTATGCATGCTGTGGTGGTATGCATGCTGTGGTGGTTGCATGCTGTGGTGGTTGCATGCTGTGGTGGTTGCATGCTGTGGTGGTATGCATGCTGTGGTGGTATGCATGCTGTGGTGGTATGCATGCTGTGGTGGTATGCATGCTGTGGTGGTTGCATGCTGTGGTGGTTGCATGCTGTGGTGGTTGCATGCTGTGGTGGTTGCATGCTGTGGTGGTTGCATGCTGTGGTGGTTGCATGCTGTGGTGGTTGTATGCTGTGGTGGTTGCATGCTGTGGTGGTTGCATGCTGTGGTGCTTGCATGCTGTGGTGGTATGCATGCTGTGGTGGTTGCATGCTATGGTGGTTGCATGCTGTGGTGGTTGCATGCTGTGGTGGTTGCATGCTGTGGTGCTTGCATGCTGTGGTGGTATGCATGCTGTGGTGGTATGCATGCTGTGGTGGCATGCATGCTGTGGTGGTTGCATGCTGTGGTGGTTGCATGCTGTGGTGGTTGCATGCTGTGGTGGTTGCATGCTGTGGTGGTTGCATGCTGTGGTGGTTGCATGCTGTGGTGGTTGCATGCTGTGGTGGTTGCATGCTGTGGTGGTTGCATGCTGTGGTGGTTGCATGCTGTGGTGGTATGCATGCTGTGGTGGTTGCATGCTGTGGTGGTATGCATGCTGTGGTGGTTGCATGCTGTGGTGGTTGCATGCTGTGGTGGTTGCATGCTGTGGTGGTTGCATGCTGTGGTGGTTGCATGCTGTGGTGGTATGCATGCTGTGGTGGTATGCATGCTGTGGTGGTATGCATGCTGTGGTGGTATGCATGCTGTGGTGGTTGCATGCTGTGGTGGTTGCATGCTGTGGTGGTTGCATGCTGTGGTGGTTGCATGCTGTGGTGGTTGCATGCTGTGGTGGTTGCATGCTGTGGTGGTTGCATGCTGTGGTGGTTGCATGCTGTGGTGGTTGCATGCTGTGGTGGTTGCATGCTGTGGTGGTTGCATGCTGTGGTGGTTGCATGCTGTGGTGGTTGCATGCTGTGGTGGTTGCATGCTGTGGTGGTTGCATGCTGTGGTGGTTGCATGCTGTGGTGGTTGCATGCTGTGGTGGTTGCATGCTGTGGTGGTTGCATGCTGTGGTGGTTGCATGGCTGTTCCAACCAACTTCCAAGCCTAACAGCATCACTCTAACCTGGTCGCCATTTCCCTTTTTTTCTCCGTTTTCCTTCCCGTACCTGTCGTGCCTGCATGATGTCATGTGCTGCGATTGCACCCTGTGGCATGGCATGGCATGGCATGGCGTGGCGTGGCGTGGCATTGGCATGGCATGGTGTGGTGTGGCATTGGCATGACATGGGATGGTGGCATGGCATGGCATGGCATGGCATGGCATGGCGTGGCATGGCATGGCATGGCATGGCATGGCGTGGCATGGCATGGCATGGCATGGCATGGCGTGGCGTGGCGTGGCGTGGTGTGGCGTGGTGTGGCGTGGCATGACATGGCATGGCATGGCATGGCATGGCATGGCATGGCATGGCATGGCATGGCATGGCATGGGCACAGCAAGCGAGGCGGACCTTTTCAGGAGTTGGTTGGGTGCCATTTCAAAGCTCGGCCTCTCAACCAATTTCCTTGCCTCTGTTGCCAGCCAGGTGAGCTTCTGTTGCCACTCAGGTGTGATTCTGTTGCAATTCAGGTGAGCTTCTGTTGCCATTCAGGTGTGATTCTGTTGCGAGCCAGGTGAGCTTCTGTTGCCAGTCAGGTGCGACTCTGTTGCCATTCAGGTGTGGATTCTGTTGTGGGTCAGGTGAGCTTCTGTTGCGCATCTGGTTTGTCCATCACATGAGATAGTGAACGTCACCACCTGCATGTCACCACCTGCATGTCACCACCTGCATGTCACCACGTCGATGTTATTTGCGCATGTATTAGTCTGCATGCATACCCTAATCCCTGTTCAAACCCGAAAAGAAATCCCAGCATATCTGCTCTTCCTTCCACCCTTCTGCACAAGGGCACGTGCAGGCCTGCCTGAAGCGCATGGGGGTGCGCCCTCATTTCTAATCCCTGCCCACCCCCATTTCTCCCCGATACCCACCTCATGCGCCTCCCCCCCCACCCCCTCTCCCCCCACCTCCCATTTCTGTGTGACCTAAATACCATGCATACCCTGCCTTTCCAGGATTGCCTTTCCAGGATTGCCTTTCCAGGATTGCCTTTCCAGGATTGCCTCCCCACATGCACCCACCCTTTCAGGTACCTCTACTCTACCTGCTGGTGCTCCTGCCAACCACGTCATTCCCCAGCCTCTGCTGCTCCTATCGAGACGTTTCAACGGTCTTCCCCTTCCCTGCTCATCTCCCCCCTCTACACCCTTCCTTCAGGTACCTTTACCTGCCAACGCTCCCTCCCTTCCTTCATTCGCCAACCTGCTTCGGCTGCGTCAACTGGCGGCAGTGGGAGTGAGGAGAAGGCAGGGGAGAAGGCAGGGGAGAGGGACAGGCTAGCGTGTCTGTTGATGCCGGCGCTGCTGGCCTCACGCCTACTCGCTGCCAACATCACAGTGCTGTTCAGGTGGGTGTGGTGCGGTTCAGGTGGGTGTGCGGGCTAAGTGAGTGTGCGTGTCTCCCCTGTGCTCTTCACTGGCAGCACATCCAAAGCTTCATCTATCATGCTTTTTTTTTCCACTGTTACAATGGTTGGTTCAGCTTGCACGATTATCATCCACGTGACAGTGAGTATCACATCCTTGAGCCTCTTGACTGTTGCTCTTGCACTTTCCATTCCACTTCCCTTCCGCTCATCCTTCATTCTTTCCACCAGAAGAAAAAAAAACACAGTTCCAAAACCAACCGAAAAACCTTCCGGTTTCTAACGTTTTTTATTTTATTTCACCCCCTCTCCTTTGACCCATTCAACTCTCCTCCTTTCCCACCACCGCCCACACCAGTGACACGTCAACTGCATGGCTTCGCATCGCAACCCCCTGCCTTTCTTACCTCCTACCTTCTCCATTTTCTATTTTGGTAATATAAAATATCTTCCCCCTTCCCACCCCCGCCCACGTCAGTGACCCATCAACTGCATGGCTTCGCAACCCGCTGCCTTTCCTCCCAGCTACCTTCTCCGTCCTCCTCCCCTCCACCTCCCACTCCCCCACCGCCCCCCACTCTCGACACCACCACTCCCACCCCTCTCAACCGCTCCCACCTTGGCTCTCTGTCCCCCTGGCTGCTGCTGCTCCGCCCCTCCTCTCCTTCCTCCTCCTCCCCTCACCCCTCCTCCACTCACTCCCTCGCCCTCTCATGGGGGTTACAAGCATACAAGGCTCTGTCCAAAGAGCCGTCTCTTTCAGACAAGGCAGAGGGAGATGGGGGAAGCATACCCCTTGCCTTGTCTGTGGCCGTGCAGAGTGCTCTCAACCACGCTGTAGCTCGCGTGCTGGAAGCACAGGCAGGTGAACGGGCAGGTGAAGGGGCAGGTGGTGAAGGAATCACGATCGGGGTTTTGCCTGCATTTTTGTTTCCGGCAAGTGAGGTGGTGTGTGAGGAGAGGCAGTGGGTGCAGCAGCATAGGGAGGAGGTGGTTGCGTTTCACAACAGCTGTGGCGCCAGCATGGAGAGCAAGGTGTCACTGCTGAAGGAGCTGCAGTTGTGGGTTGACGGGTGATGCATGCGGGTTGAAATAGCATACCACATCCACACTTGTACCGTAACTGGTGGATGGGTGATGCAAGTGTGCTGGCTGTCAAACATATATGCTGCTTATTGTGTAGGCTGTAGTGGGGTAGCCCATATGGGGTACAACCCAGATTAGGGTTTCCTACTTGTACCCATCATGCCTCTAGTTCATTCATTCCTGCCTAGACTTCTGACATGGTTTCAGAGCAGTAGGTCCGTAGGACCGTTTTTTTTTTTCGGGCCCACCTACCGTTGTGGTTACTGAGCTGCCCCACGTGTTGCCTGCGCTGCGCCGCCCGCGCGCGCCTTGCCGTGCCTGCGCTGCGCTGCCCGCGCGCGCCTTGCCTTGCCTGCGCCTTGCCTTGCCTTGCCTGCGCCTTGCCTTGCCTTGCCTGCGCTGCGCTGCCCCGCGCACGCCGTGCCCTGCCCCGCGTTGCGCTGCCCCGCGCACGCTCTGCTCTGCCTGGCGTCGCGCGCCCCTGCAGCCCGTCGCGTCGCCCGTCTGCCCTGCCTCTGCCCGTCGCGTCGCCCGTACGGGCTGTCCCAGCCCGTCGCGTCGCCCGTCTGCCCTGCCTCTGCCCGTCGCGTCGCCCGTACGGGCTGTCCCAGCCCGTCGCGTCGCCCTTCCGCCCTGCCTCTGCCCGTCGCGTCGCCCGTCCGCCCTGCCTGCCTGTCGCGTCGCCCGTACGGGCTGTCCCAGCCCGTCGCGTCGCCCGTACGGGCTGCCTGCCCGTCGCGTCGCCCGTACGGGCTGTCCCAGCCCGTCGCGTCGCCCGTACGGGCTGCCTGCCCGTCGCGTCGCCTGTACGGGCTGTCCCAGCCCGTCGCGTCGCCCGTACGGGCTGCCTGCCCGTCGCGTCGCCCGTCCGCCTTGCAGCCCGCGCGTCGCGCCTCTGCTGCCCCGCGCGTCGCGCCTCTGCTGCCCCGCGCGTCGCGCCCTACGGCAGCCCGCGCGCCGCGCTCTGCAGCCCCGCGCGTCGCGCCCTGCTGCCCTGCACGAAGCGCGCCCTGCTGCTCGCGCCGCCCAGGCCGAGCCGAGCCGCCCTACCCGACCCGATCCGCCCTCCTGCTCGTGCTACTACTGCTGCTGGTGGAGGTGCTGCTAGGAGTGCTGGAGGTGCTGCAGCCTAGCCTCACTGAGCCGCTCTACTGCTCTTACTGCTGTTGCTGCTGCTCGTGCTGCTGTCTTCCCTCCGTACCGCCCTCCTCCTCGCACGCCTCCTTGCTTACCCGCTATGACTTCCCTTCGTAGTAGCGGTGGGAGTGATTGCGGCGGCGGTGGCGGCAGTGGGAGTGGTGGCGGCGACCATAGTTGCAGTCGCGGTGGAGCTGTTCAGTGCGGAGTTTCTGGCGGTGGCGAGATCCAGCTGCAGCGGCGTCCGAGCGAGACCCTTCCACCCCAGCAGCTTCATGCGTGGTACGCTCAGCGTTGTGCGTCTCGGAGAGGTGGCGGCGGCCGTAGTAGCAGTCGTGGTGGAGCTGGTCAGTGCGGAGTCTCTGGCGGTGGCCAGATGCAGCTGCACTGGCGCCCGCGCGAGACCCTTATGCCCCGGCAGCTGCATGAGTGGTACGCTCAGAGTTGGGGGTGTAGGACTACTGCTCGCTGCCCGTACGTTATTCGCACAGGTGATCGAGCTGGTCAGACTTGCGGGACAGTTAGTCACACAGAGTCCCGCTGCTTCTCCCGTCTGAGCGACGCTTGGCGAGCACGGTTTGGCGACGAGACTGAGCTACCCCTCTGGCTAGAGCTGCTTCAGGACGGAGTAGATATATTTGCCTTAGACTATGACACTATCCTTACTGCCATGTATGTTTTGACTGGTACTTCTGAGGGTGACTGTTACCTGTGTGTGCCCCCTGACCCTGGTATAGCGGCTGCTGCTCTAGGTGCTAGTGAGTCTGCTCTCTCTGGTACTGCACCTGCTGAGGCCTTGCACACCTTTACACTTGACTCTGGAGCTCTAGGTGCTAGTGACTCTGCTGTTTCTTTCGCGACAGTACCACGGTCACACCCCTCCCTGCACCTGTCCCTGTCTCACTGGCTGACCCCTCTGGGGGCCCAGTGCTTGCACGGTCTACCACTGTGCTTCCGTGTCCGGCGGTCCCGTCTGGTGAGCTGTCTGGTCTCCACATCCCCTCGTTCTCTACGAACCTGGTGAGCAACGCCGTCCTTCAGGATCATTGGGTTGACACCTTTACTCCTGGAGGACAGCGTGTGGCGATCTGTACGTGCTCTAGGACTGGCCGCCACCTGGCCACGTTCACACGTGCGCCAGGGTCCAGTCTGTACACCCTCACCACTGTGTCCCTACTGTCACGCGTCTGCTTGCCACTGTTGTCACTGACCCGTCGTTTGAGTCTGCTGTTGCGTCTGCCTTAGTCGCTGAGCTTGTTGACTTTGCTGCTGTCTGTCGTCTAGACTACGCCGCTAGCCTTGTTGCTGAGTCTGAGTCTGTCTGTCCTCCGTCCGTCGGGGGTGAGTGTGCTTTTGGCACGGACGTCCTTGAGGACAGGCATGAGGACCTTGAGTGTCTTGCAGCCGTTGCGCCTCATCTCGTGGCCATGCTGCTTGCCCCTGAGGGAGACCCGGATGCTGTAGACATCCCGACCCCGCGCTCTTACGCTGAGGCGATCGCGGGTCCCTACTCCTCTCAGTGGCAGACAGCCATGGACGCAGAGATGGCATCCTGGAAGTCCACAGGCACTTACGTCGACGAGGTTTCCCTTCCTAGGGCATGTGGATTTTCAGGGTGAAGCGGCCGCCGGGTTCTCCGCCTGTCTTCAAGGCTCGTTACGTTGCTAGAGGCTTCAGTCAGCGTGAAGGAGTTGACTTCTTCCAGACCTTCTCCCCTACCCCGAAGATGACCACTCTTCGGGTGCTGCTGCACGTTGCCGCTCAGCGTGACTACGAGCTTCACTCTCTTGACTTCAGCACAGCCTTCTTACAGGGCAGCCTGCACAAGGAGATCTGGCTGCGCCGCCCACCTGGCTTCACTGGGTCGTTCCCTCCTGGTACCCAGTGGAGCCTCCGCCGGCCAGTCTACGGTCTCCGCCAGGCACCTCGTGAGTGGCACGACACATTGAGGACTACACTTGCGGCTCTTGGGTTCGCTCCTTCGACTGCTGACCCGTCGCTGTTTCTGCGCACCGACACTTCACTGCCGCCGTTCTACATCCTCGTGTACGTCAACGACTTGGTCTTTGCTACTGCTGACACTGAGGCTCTCGCTCTGGTGAAGTCGGAGCTGCAGAAGAGACACACGTGCACTGACCTGGGTGAGCTGCGCAGCTACCTTGGCTTGCAGATCACCCGGGACAGAGCACGCCGCACCATCACACTGACTCAGTCACACATGGTGCAGCAGGTCCTTCAGCGCTTCGGCTTCACCTGGTCCTCCGCACAGTCCACTCCTCTTGCTACAGGTCACTCGCTCTTAGCTCCACCTTCGGACGAGTCCGTAGAGCCGAGTGGTCCTTACGCAGAGCTAGTGGGCTGCCTCATGTACCTGATGACCTGCACTCGACCTGACCTTGCGTACCCTCTTGGCCTTTTGGCTCGCTACGTGGCTCCTGGTCGGCACCGAAAGGTGCACATGGATGCTGCAAAGAGGGTACTGCGCTACTTGTGCAGTACATCGGGCATGGGGCTCGTGCTTGGAGGACGGAGCGACGTTGTCCTCACTGGGCACTCAGACGCTTCTTGGGTTGACGACCAGGCTACGCAGCGGTCGTCACAGGGTTACACCTTCAGCCTTGGCTCTGGCTCTGTTTCTTGGCGTTCTACTCGTTCGTCTTCTGTTCTCAGCTCCAGTTGTGAGGTTGAGATCTACGCCACAGCCATGGCTGCTCAGGAGTTGCGCTGGCTCACCTACCTGCTGACCGACTTGGGAGAGAGGCCTCGTTCTCCTCCAGTTTTGTACGTCGACAACAAGGCTGCCATTACCTTGTGTCAGGAGCACAGACTGGAGCACAGAACGAAGCACATCGCTCTGCGTTACTTTCTGGCTCGAGAGTTGCAGCAGCGTGGTCAGCTTCGTCTTGCTCACGTGGCCACCAGGGCCAACACTGCTGATATATTCACCAAGGCACTTCCGCCTGGTGATCATCAGCGCTTTTGTACTTTGTTGGGCCTCGTGCCTACGTTTCTTCACTTGTTGTAGGCTTTGCTTGTACTGTGATCTATGTATATATACCTGCATGCTTGCTCTTGCTAGGTAGTGATCACTGTACTGTGTTGTTGCATATATACTTCTGCATGTGAACTGGCCTTGTGGCCCTTTGCTTAGGCTCAGAATGCGTGGTGACTTTGTGATCCACCCTGAGCTTGCTTTGCCTTTCTTGACTGGTCCTGTGACCTCTTGTTCTCCCCCACTCTGCCTATGGGGGTGTGTCAAACATATATGCTGCTTATTGTGTAGGCTGTAGTGGGGTAGCCCATATGGGGTACAACCCAGATTAGGGTTTCCTACTTGTACCCATCATGCCTCTAGTTCATTCATTCCTGCCTAGACTTCTGACACTGGCTGGTTAGCATTTTACTTTTATCAGATCTATGCAGTATGAGGAGAGGCCGTGGGAGCAGCAGCAGCAGCAGTGGGGAGGCATAGCATAGAGGTTGCGTCTCGCAACAGCTGTGGGCCCAGCAAGGAGGCCAATTGGTGGGAGTGCTGAAGGTGCTGTAGTTGTGGGTGGCAATGAGATGCAAGTGAGCTGATGTTTGAGGAGAGGCAGTGTTGAATTGACATGATCGCCAAATTTCATAAGTGATGAGAGTGGTGGCGTGCGGGAATTGCACATGGGTGGGGCCATTTGCGTCGTTGTTTACATAAGTGGCCAAGCTGTCGTGAACAGTCAGTTGTGAAAACACAGAAGATGCGTACTTTCTACATTTCATGAAACAAACTACCTATGCAGTAGTAAAGAACACGGGTGCTTCAAAAGAATTCCTGTGATTAGACACGCATGTTTGTTTTTTAGCAATTAGATTATACAGATCACTGTACAAGCCACATTTGCGTATGGCGTGGTGTTGCAACTCAATAAGGCAACGGCTGGAAGGGCGCTCTCATGTCAGACTGACGCTGTGCCACCCACTCGCCTACCCATCCATGAGCCCAGCACACACCGCTGCAGGCAGCATGTGCAATGCAAGTCACTGTACAAGCTACATCTTATAATGTGGCATTCCATAAGAGCAACGCAACTCAATAAGGCAACGGCTGGAACGGTGCTCTCATGTCGGCCTGGCTCTGTGCCACCCAACCATCCATGAGCCCAGCACACACCGCTGCAGGCAGCACATGCGGCACGCTCACCCCGTAGTCACCACTCAAGAGCTCTGCCTCCCTCCTCACCACCTCCTCTGCTTCCTCTGCTCTCCTCGCGTCTTCCACCGCTGCCTCTGCCACGGCCCACCCCCCCAGCATCTCATCCAGCCTTGGCCCCTCCCTGCCTCCCTCCCTTGTGTTTCCAGTGCTCCTGAGCGCACCAAAGGCCTGCAGTGGAATGGGGAGAACACATAAAATTGAACACCCTGCCATGCTTCCTTTTCTTGTCTCTGCCACCACGCTGCCCACCCTCCCTGCATCTCATCCAGCCCCGGCCCCTCTCTGCTGCTTTCAACTGTCTCTCCAGGACTGCTGTTGTGTGCACCAAAGCCCTGCGGTGGAACCACGCACTAAGTACAAATGGCAACGCGGGTAAGGTGGCATGGGGAGAGGGGAGAGGGAAGGGGGAGAGATCGGAGGGAGGGAGAACCACTTTGAGTTGACTGGAATGCGGACAAGGGTGGCGGCCGTGCCATAGCTCTTGAAGAAACAGAGAGTGGAATGAGCAAGAGGAGAATTATAACAATGAAATGTGGAAATCCGTATGGTGCTTGGCAGTGAAACAGTGACTCAGATACCAGGCGTAATTAGATTTCTAAACTGTCTGATTTGCAGGATTCGAACCTTTTTAGGAAAACAAAGCATGTCTGATTTTCAGTCTACATCTGCCTATCAACTCTGTTATTTATGATGACTACACCAAAACCAATCTGATAACATTGGTGGTGACTATTCATCAGCTACGCAGAGACCCACCTCTACCTCCAGAAGCCATGCTTCCGAGAAATTCAAAAAGTAACATCAGCTACGCAGTTACTACTTATGAGTCGTCTCAAGGTTCACCTATGCAGAGACTCACCTGCAGCTCCAAAGGCCAAGCTCTCTGCATGCCCGCTCGCCCGCCTGTGTGCGTGTCCACCATCACCCAGCCCCCCGCTAGAAGAGCTAGAAGAGCTCCAGAGGCCATGCTCCCAACCCAAGTACTAGGAGTTGCGCGCTAAATCCGTGTAGAGCAAGGCACTCCCTCTCCGCACCAACACACTGACTCACCTGCAGCTCCAAAGGCCATGGTCCCTGCGTGCCCGCCTGATTGTGTGCGTGTGTGGCATTACCCCCCTCAGAAGCCAGGGTGTTGCCGGGGATGAGGGAGGGCACGGATGCAAGGTAGCTGATTGGTGCACAGGGGTGTGAGAGGGGAGAGAAGGAATGGCGTGTAGAGAGGTGATGAGCGTGTATCCAAGGACATGCCCTGCTATACTGCACGCACGCCCTGTGACTGTATGGGATGGGTTGGCAGTGCATGGAGTGGTATGCGATGTTGCGACATGAGATCATATATATATACACATATACATATACAGAATTTGATATTTAAAAAATCTAGCAAAACGCAGTGCATAACGCGTCATGAGATCGCGTGACCTGAGCGGCATGGGGCGTCACCTGTGGCAGAAGTGGCATGGATGCATGGTCAACGTGCCATAATCAGCCGTCCATGCATGCATGAGAAAGGTGCAAGGCACTCGCTTGCTGAAAGTGTACCCGCGGTTTTAACGCCATGTCATGGTATGGTGTGGCATGGCATGGGGCGTCACCTGTGGTAGAAGTGCCATGAAGAGCCGTCCATGCAAGCATGCGCCAAGTGCAGCGCACTCGCCTCCCCTCCATCTCTCCGCAATGCCGGGTACGCAGCCCTTGCTGCTCCCACACTGCTGCTACCACCAGCACCAGCACCAGCCAGGGAAATACCAGCTCCAGCCAGAGGAACAGCAGCAGCAGCATTGGCACTGTGGGGGGGATCCGGAGTGAGCTCGTGCAGAAACACATATCCACACTCCTTCAACTCCCCAGCCCATTCCCTCGGATCAACCACCTCACAACCTCCTCCAACCCCTCCACCACCACCCACCTTCCCACCACTCCTCACACCACTTTGCACACCTCTCCAATCCTGCACACCCCTGTCGCCGCCCTCCTGCCCCACACTTCCACTTTGACTACCACTCCCCCTGCTGTTTTCCGGATAGACTCGCACGGCTGTGCCCCCCCCTGCTGCTGCAGCTCCTGCCCCCAGCAGTCGGTCAAAGGAGGTGAGCTTGAGTGAAGCGGGTGGGGGAGAGGGGCGGGAGGAGGCAGCAGGAGGAGAGGGCGAGGGAGGCGGAGGAGGGGAGGGCAGCCACAGGGGTCTGCACAGGGGGAGAGTGAGGGAGGGATGGAGGGAGAGGAGAGAGGGAGGGAGGGAGGGAGGGAGGGAGGGAGGGAGGGAGGGAGGGAGGGAGGGAGGGAGGGAGGGAGGGAGGGAGGGAGGGAGGGAGGGAGGGAGGGAGGGAGGGAGGGAGGGAGGGAGGGAGGGAGGGAGGGAGGGAGGGAGGGAGGGAGCAACAAGAGACGATCTTTTAGTTGCCACGGAAATCGCCTGTAAGCAGTGGGGTTCGAGTGTGGGGTGGGGGGCAGGGAGGAGGGCTTTTGAGGCGTCTTAAAAGGAGGGAGGGGGGGAAGCGCGAGGGGCTGAGTTGGGGAGGGACAGGGGAGGGGTGAGGGGCAAGGTGAGGTTGAGTTGCATTTGGAGACTAGGGGAGGAATTTTTAGTCAACACAATAGTCAGGGAACGAGTAAATCGCACGTGGTGGCGGATAAGAGAGAGGCCCATGGGAACGGGAACGGGAGGGGGCATCTGAAAGATGACGCATGGGAGGGGAGGGGTGAGGCATGGGAGGGGAGGGGTGAGGGAGCAAGCTTTTCTGAGCTGATAGAAAAGACATGGGCAGACGAAATGGAGCTCACACGTGGGAAGGGAGCAGCGAGAGGTCCATGGGAGGGGGGGGGGCATGAGATACATCAGGGAGTGAAGGGAGGCTGGGCGAGAAGGAAGCACATGAGGGGCGCCAGCCACAGGGAAAGTGAGAGCAGGAAACAATTTTTGAGTCGACTCACAAGGCCACAGGGAAAGTGAGAGCAGGAAACATGGGAAACTCACACGTGGGAGGGAAGCAGCGAGACGTCCATGGGAGGAGGCGGGGCATCGGACACATCAGGGAGGGACGCGAGGCTGGGCGAGAAGGAAGCAGACGGCATGGTTGCTGCTCCCATCATTCCACCCCCCTCCACCCCCCTCCCTCCACTCAGCTGCCCCTGTTCCGCCCCCGCCTCCCCTGCGTGCGCGCCCCTCCCTGTGGCTCCGTGCAGGTGCTGGTCTGCTCCCACCTCCCAGATGGCTGCCTGGCCTCCTCTTGGCTGGAAGTGACCCAGGAAGCTGGCAGAGAGTACACGGGGGAGAGGGAGGGAGGGAGGGGGAGGGAGAGGCAAGCATGGTCGTGTGCGTTCCGTGCAGGTGCTGGTCTGATCCCAGCTCCCAGATGGCTGCCTGGCCTGCCCGTGGCTCGAAGTGACCCAGGAAGCTGGCATGTGGAGAGAGGGAGTGGGAGTGGGAGTGGGAGTGAGGGAGAAGGGAGAATGGGAGGGGCAAAGGGCAATGTGAGAAGTGCCTGCGCGCCCCTCCCTGTGCCTCCGTGCAGGTGCTGGTCTGATCTGATCCCACCTCCCAGATGGCTGCCTGGCCTGCCCTTGGCTGGAAGTGACCGAGAAAGCTGGCATGTGGGAGAGAGGGAGGAAGAGGGGGAGGGGAGGCGGATGGGAAAAGGGGAGGCGGATGGGAAAAGGGGAGGGCAATGAGCGGCGTGATATGAAGCGGCTACTGCCTGTATGCAGGTGCTGGTGCTGGTCTGACCCCAGCTCCCAAATGGCTGCCCGCCCTGCTCGCGGCTGAAAGTGGCCCAAAAAAATGGCAGCACGTAACAAGAGAGCGAGAGGACAGGGGGGGGGGGGGGGCGGAGGAGCAGCGTCAGATGAAGCGCCTGTGTACCTCTCCTTGTGGCTTCGTGAAGGTGCTGGTCCGACCCTCCACGAAGCCCCAGCTTCCAGATGGTGCCTGGCCTGCCCGCGGCTGGAAGTGACCCAGGAAGCTGGAAGGCAGTACACTCGGAAAGAAGGAAGGGAGAGAGCAAAGGAAGGGGGCGCTGAGCGGCGTGAGACGGAACAAAGAGGCATCGCCCCTTGCGAGAGTGGCATATGCGAGTGGTGAGAGGGTGGTGATAGTGTGGTGCGAGGGTGGTGATAGTGTGGTGTGAGAGTGGCGTGCCAAGACTAAACCAAAGACTACAGCACGCACAGGTTAATCGCATCTTGCTTGTCAGCGTCAGTAATGGCATTGCTGTAGTACCGGTGCAGCGACTTGAGCACCTCCTGAGACTGCAGAGTCGACCGCCAAGTCCCCGGCCTCTCAGCAATGACCAGGTTGTGCGCCGCAGACCCCCCGTACTGCAGCGCCAGCGCATCCCCCATCGCGATATACATCCCCTGCAGCCGCCTCCCCACGTCGCTCTTGCTGTCCAGGTGCGGCGAATCTGTGATTCCCAGGGAGTAGAGCTGCTGCGCGAGGGCCTCTCTGCCGAACACGAACTGGGCCACGTTGGTGCGGTCCAGGCAGTCGAGACAGTTGGTTCGGACTATCCCGTGTTGTAGCTGTGGGGGACGCACCCATCTCCCTGCCTCCTCCTCCTCCTCTGGCTCTGCTGCTGCTCCTTTGCTGTCTCCCCTGCTTTTGACCCCTTCCTCCTCCGGCCCAGTTGCAGCGGCGGCGGCGGCGGCGGCGGCGGCAGAGGAGGGGGCGGGAGGGCGGGAAGAGAAGCAAGTCTTGGTGGCAGCCCTGGCGATGTGGAGACAAGGCAGGTAGTAGTCGGGAATAGAGGGGATGGGGGCACATGGGATGGAGAACAGAGGACAAGGTTTCACGGTTAAGGGTAGGAAGTAGTTGGGAATAGAGGAGATGGAGATTTCCAGTCCAGTTCTGTTCTGTGCTGGGGGTACCAGGTGTATGTCTTCAGGTGAAAACAACAGATGTGGCACCTGGAGAACTGGCTGGAGTAAATGAAGCCAGTCTTGGCGAGGCACTCTCTCTCTCTAGCGATCACTGATAGTGTACCCAACACCCCCTCCGCCACACTGCCCTAACCCTCGCTGCCTCTTGATTCGACCCAGAATGAGGTGACTTTCAAAGTCGACTCAAAACAAACCTGCCAAGCTGGCCCGGGTAGAAAAAGCCGGTCTTGGCAAGGCACTCCCTGGCGATGGCTGCCAGCGCACCCAACACGACACGCCCTCCGCCACACTGCCCTTGCCCCCACTACCCCGTTCCCCCCACTACTACCGCTGTGAATACAAGGAGGGCGCACCTGGCGAGCTGGCCCGAGTAGAAAAAGCCTGTCTTGGCGAGGCACTCCCTAGCGATCACTGCCAGCGCACCCAACACCCCCTCCGCCACACTCCCCTTGCCCCCACTGCCGCTGCCATTTCCCCCATTGCCGCCGGTGCTACTGTTGGTGCCACTGCCAATGCCGCTGTTGCTGCCACTCCCTCTGCTGCTGCTGCTGCCACTGCTTGCTTGGGTGTTGGTGTTGGTGTTGGTGTTGGTGTTGGTGGCTCGAGGAGAGAGCGAAGGAGGCGAGAGCGAGAAGGAGGAGGCAGAAGGGGAGGACGGGGGGATGAGGGAGGAGGAAGGGATGAGGGAGGAGGAAGGGATGAGGGAGGAGGAGGGGAAGGAGGAGAAGGGGCTGGCATGAGTGGTAAGGGTGTGGAGTGTGGTGGGTGTGTTGGGCATGGTGGGTGCGTTGGGCATGGTGGGTGCGTTGGGCGTGGTGGTGAGCGTGCTGAGTGCACTTGCTGCTGCGCTGGTGACCCCTGCTGGAGTGGTGGCCGCGTTTGCACTGATGCGTGGGTGGGTGGTGATGGGGGAGGGGGGATGCATGAGAGGTCAGAATCAGAATGTGTACCTTACTGCTAACCGCAGGCTGCTGCAACACATTCGGAGTCGCCTCAAAAGTCACCTGAGAGGTCAGATGCGTACCTTATTGGTAAACACTGCTCACCTGCACAACACTGCTCACCTGCACAACACTGCTCCCCTGCACAACACTGCTCCCCTGCACAACACTGCTCCCCTGCACACTGGTACCGTATTGGCACACACTGTCCTAGTATCTTGCGGCAGCACTGGTGAGTCGTGACCCCTGCTGTATTAATGGCTGCACTTGCACTGAAGACGAGAAAAAGAGGAGTGTGTAAGGGGCAAATCGGAACAGGGGGGCTGCTCACCTCTTGGCATATCTGGAGAAGTCCCAGTGGATATAGGTGAGGGCGGAGTGGCGAGGCAGCACGCGATTGAGATACGCCATTGCTGCTGTGCCATAGGCGCAAGACTGCTCACCTCTTGGCGTATCTGGAAAAGTCCCAGTGAATGTATGTGAGGGCGGAGTCGGGTGGCAGCACGCGGTTGAGATACGCCACTGCCATAGCGAACTCCCTCCTCAGAATCATCTCCCGAGGGTGCTTCTCCACTGTCTGAAGGGTAATATGGGTTGAGAGCGGTGGAGAAGGATAAGGGAGAGGGGAGACGTCATGCAGTTGAGATATGCCACTGCCATGGCAAACTCCCTCCTTGAATCATCTCCATTGGATGCTTCTCCACCGTCTGGCAGGGAGGGGAGAGGATGGGAGAGGGGATATGGGAGAGAGGCTTTGATGGATTCAATGCAATATTGTACGACTGAGATGAGAGGGATCGCAGTGGCTACCTCCCTCCTCAAAATTATCTCCCGCGGATGCTTCTCCACTGTCTGGCAGGGAGTGGAGAGGATGGGAGAGGGGATATGGGAGAGGAGAGGGAAGAGGGGATGGGAGAGGGGAGAGCGGGCATGGAGGAGCAGTGTAAGAAGGAAGGAGAAGAGCAGGGATGAGGCGGCATGTAAGAAGGAAGGAGAAGAGCAGGGATGAGGCGGCATGTAAGAAGGAAGGAGAAGAGCAGGGATGAGGCGGCATGTAAGAAGGAAGGAGAAGAGCAGGGATGAGGCGGCATGTAAGAAGGAAGGAGAAGAGCAGGGATGAGGCGGCATGTAAGAAGGAAGGAGAAGAGCAGGGATGAGGCGGCATGTAAGAAGGAAGGAGAAGAGCAGGGATGAGGCGGCATGTAAGAAGGAAGGAGAAGAGCAGGGATGAGGCGGCATGTAAGAAGGAAGGAGAAGAGCAGGGATGAGGCGGCATGTAAGAAGGAAGGAGAAGAGCAGGGATGAGGCGGCATGTAAGTAGGAAGGAGAAGAGCAGGGATGAGGCGGCATGTAAGAAGGAAGGAGAAGAGCAGGGATGAGGCGGCATGTAAGAAGGAAGGAGAAGAGCAGGGATGAGGCGGCATGTAAGAAGGAAGGAGAAGAGCAGGGATGAGGCGGCATGTAAGAAGGAAGGAGAAGAGCAGGGATGAGGCGGCATGTAAGAAGGAAGGAGAAGAGCAGGGATGAGGCGGCATGTAAGAAGGAAGGAGAAGAGCAGGGATGAGGCGGCATGTAAGAAGGAAGGAGAAGAGCAGGGATGAGGCGGCATGTAAGAAGGAAGGAGAAGAGCAGGGATGAGGCGGCATGTAAGAAGGAAGGAGAAGAGCAGGGATGAGGCGGCATGTAAGAAGGAAGGAGAAGAGCAGGGATGAGGCGGCATGTAAGAAGGAAGGAGAAGAGCAGGGATGAGGCGGCATGTAAGAAGGAAGGAGAAGAGCAGGGATGAGGCGGCATGTAAGAAGGGAGGAGAAGAGCAGGGATGAGGCGGCATGTAAGAAGGAAGGAGAAGAGCAGGGATGAGGCGGCATGTAAGAAGGAAGGAGAAGAGCAGGGATGAGGCGGCATGTAAGAAGGAAGGAGAAGAGCAGGGATGAGGCGGCATGTAAGAAGGAAGGAGAAGAGCAGGGATGAGGCGGCATGTAAGAAGGAAGGAGAAGAGCAGGGATGAGGCGGCATGTAAGAAGGAAGGAGAAGAGCAGGGATGAGGCGGCATGTAAGAAGGAAGGAGAAGAGCAGGGATGAGGCGGCATGTAAGAAGGAAGGAGAAGAGCAGGGATGAGGCGGCATGTAAGAAGGAAGGAGAAGAGCAGGGATGAGGCGGCATGTAAGAAGGAAGGAGAAGAGCAGGGATGAGGCGGCATGTAAGAAGGAAGGAGAAGAGCAGGGATGAGGCGGCATGTAAGAAGGAAGGAGAAGAGCAGGGATGAGGCGGCATGTAAGAAGGAAGGAGAAGAGCAGGGATGAGGCGGCATGTAAGAAGGAAGGAGAAGAGCAGGGATGAGGCGGCATGTAAGAAGGAAGGAGAAGAGCAGGGATGAGGCGGCATGTAAGAAGGAAGGAGAAGAGCAGGGATGAGGCGGCATGTAAGAAGGAAGGAGAAGAGCAGGGATGAGGCGGCATGTAAGAAGGAAGGAGAAGAGCAGGGATGAGGCGGCATGTAAGAAGGAAGGAGAAGAGCAGGGATGAGGCGGCATGTAAGAAGGAAGGAGAAGAGCAGGGATGAGGCGGCATGTAAGAAGGAAGGAGAAGAGCAGGGATGAGGCGGCATGTAAGAAGGAAGGAGAAGAGCAGGGATGAGGCGGCATGTAAGAAGGAAGGAGAAGAGAAGGGATGAGGCGGCATGTAAGAAGGAAGGAGAAGAGCAGGGATGAGGCGGCATGTAAGAAGGAAGGAGAAGAGCAGGGATGAGGCGGCATGTAAGAAGGAAGGAGAAGAGAAGGGATGAGGCGGCATGTAAGAAGGAAGGAGAAGAGCAGGGATGAGGCGGCATGTAAGAAGGAAGGAGAAGAGCAGGGATGAGGCGGCATGTAAGAAGGAAGGAGAAGAGCAGGGATGAGGCGGCATGTAAGAAGGAAGGAGAAGAGCAGGGATGAGGCGGCAAGACAGGTTTGACATGTTCGACAGGGGCAGCTGCTGTTTGACAGGTAGAGTGTGCTTTTGAGTCGGCTCAAAAGCAGGAGAAGAGCAGGGATGAGGCGGCAGGACAGGTTTGACAGGAGCTGCTGCGGTGATAGAGTGGAGTCCTTGCTCTCACTCCAAAACCTGCAGCGCTTCACACGCTGCAGCGCTTTCAGTCTGGTCTGAGCAGGGTAGGAGGCACCGTACCGTACCTTGGTGAGAATGATGGTCCTGCTGTTTAAGCGCATGCTTCACTTCACACACCGCAGGCAGGCTGCGCCCCTAGAACTGTCAGCCAACCAGGGCAGCAGGCACCGCACCACACCTTGATGAGCTTGAGGACTTAGTCAGCCATTTCCGTCTTGGAGGCCCATGTACACGTAAAGTACGCGTAAACGTAAACGTACGCGAACGTATGTGTACTTACGTTTACTTACTCCGGGCAGGTACAAAGATTTTTCTCAGTATGGTTCTGACATCGACCCTCTGCTCAGGTCTAGATCGTAGTAGTGTTAGTAGAGGAGTGATATTACATTACTCGTGCACCAAAAAGGTTTTTAGCTGACCGTACATGATGGCATAATCTGGGAGGTGCGTAAACGTACGTAACGTAACTGTACGTAAATGACCAACTTAGGTTGAGGATGATGGTGGGGCGGCCGCACCGCTGCATGAGGTAAGGAGGGCAGCAGGCACCGTAGTGTACCATACTCTACCGCAAGAACTGTACCTTGATGAGGTTGAGGATGATGATGGGGCGGCCGTATCGCTCCATGAGATTCTCAAAGTGCAGCCGCGCTGCTGTGTACATGGGGTCGTAGCGATGCACTGCATGGCAGGACAGTGGGGAGGCGTAGTGGTGATGCAGAGTGAGGAGAAATGTAACGAGGATAAGCACACGAGAATCTCAAAGTGCAGCCATGCTGCTGCGAACATGGGGTCGTAGCGATGCACTGCTCATGCACAGTGGTATGGAGGGAACAAGAATATTTGAAATGAGGAAGCTTTTAATGAGGATAAGCCTATGCCATGCAAAGTGCAGCCGCGCAGCTGTGTACATGGGGTCGTACCGGTGCACTGCAGTCATGGAGGCACGGTGGCACGAGGAGGCATAGTAAGGAGGCTTATAACGAGAATAAGCCCATGATTTGCAAAGTGCAGCTGCGCTGGTGTGTAAATGGAGTCATTGCGATGCACTGCACTGCACACCAATGGTTACATGGTTGCAGAGTGAGGAGGCTTATAACGAGCACAAGGCAGTGCTCTGGAATGCAAGTGTGCATGTACATGCGGTCGTAGCAATGCACTGCACTCATAGAGGCACGGACGAACAAGCATAATGCAAGTGCGTGAACCAGTGCGGCTATGCAAATAAATGTGTGTACATGGGGTAATAGCCATGCACTGCACTGAGGTATGGTTGCATAGTGAGGAGGCAGAGTTAGGAGGCAGAGTTAGGAGGCAGAGTTAGGAGGCATATGGCTCGGCCAGGGCAACGTTACTCAAGTGTGCACATGGCGGGAGGGTAGCGGTGCAGTGCTGACAGTGGCATGGTTGCAGAGAGTGAATCAGAATAGTGAGGAGGGATACATCATACAACGACCAGCCTACACTGCACCACTCATCCACCGCACTGCACCACTCAACCACCGTATTGCACCACTCACACACGATGTCTGGCTTGGGGCTGAGTCGTGATGCCTCCTGCGACCAGAAGAGGGGAATGGACCCCCTCACCTGCACCACACTCGCCATCGCTGGCAACGCTGCTGCTGACGCCGCCCCCACCGCTGCCACTGCCACCGCTGCTGCTGCCACCGCCGCCGCCCCCGCTTCTGCTGCTGCTGCTGCTGCTGCTGTGCCTGCTGACATATCCCCTAGCACAGGTTTTATCCGGGGAAGGTTTTCACGGGGGCTGATTGGAGGAGGATGGATGGTGGAGGAGGAGGGGAGGGATGGGAAGGGCTGGATGAGCAGAAACGGGGAGGAGGAGGCAGGGGAAGGGGGTGGCGACGTGGCATGCTGCTGCTGCTGCTGCTGCTGCCTGTTGTGATAAATGGACTGGTGTTGCAGGGGGTGAGTGGTTGGGACGGGTCTGGATGCGGATACAGGCATGGGTTCACGGTGCAGAGCGGTGTAGGGCGGTAGGATGGGTTCATGGGAGTGGTCGAGCAGCAGCTGCTCCACCTCCACCTCGTTGGCCACTCGCCCCCGGTCGTTCACCCCCCTCTTCAGGTACCGCGTTCCGGCAAAGTGGCGTGAGCGACGGGCGATTAAGACCAGCGAGATGACTCGGCCAAATATGGACATGCGCTCCTGAGAAGGCGAGGGGACAGGAGGGGAGGCGAGGGGACAGGAGGGGCGGCGAGGGGACAGGAGGGGAGGCGAGGGGACAGGAGGGGAGGCGAGGGGACAGGAGGGGAGGCGAGGGGACAGGAGGAGCATGGAAGGCTCTTAAGGTACTTTGTTGTGACAAAGTGGCGCGATTGGCGCAAAGTTGGAGAAGGTATTCGCTTCACCAAGATGACCACTGAGCAGCGAGCAGCAAGGAGCAAGAGGCAAGCAGTGAGCATGGAGCAGCAATTCGAACCCACCTGGTGGAAGAAGCCATGGGAGAGGGTGAGAGTCCAGTGGTTGGTTCCAAGGGCGTGGCGGATGGGGTGTGTGAGAAGCAAGGAGCATCAAGCGGCGAGCAGCAGCCCACCTGGTGGAAGAAGCCATGGGAGAGAGCGAGCGTCCAGCGGTTGGTGGCGAGGGCGTGGCGGATGGGACGTGTGAGGAACGAATTCCACACGAACATGTGCTCGTGGGCCATGTGGGCCATGTGGGCCATGCCCGTGCATGATCCCAATCCCGCGCTGCTGCTGCTGCCACACTCGGTGCATCCGGCGACGGTACGGCAGACATTGTCTTGTAGTGAGCGCATGACGGGGTAGGAGTGGGAGTAGAAGAAGTCCTTCGTGAGGTCGACCCCCGACAGCAGCCTCTTGTACCTGATGGGGGGGTGGAAGAGAGTTTGAGAGTGCTGTGACTGAGACTGAGGCATGGCATTGCAAGAAGGGAAAATGGGCAGGAGTGGGAGTGGAAGACGTCCCCTTGTGAGATCCACTCCTGACAGCAGCCTCTTGTAGTACCTGATGGGATGCGAGGGAATGAGGACGTTAGTAGAAGAATGATGGGGTGGGAGCGAAGCAGACACCTTGGTGTGAACAATCATAACTGCTCCTCACCACTGCTCCTCACCACTGCTCCTCACCACTTCACCTCACCGCGCCTCACCATGTCTCTCCACCGCTGCTCACCGCTGCTCCATGGTGCTAGAAGCCACGGTCGTGTGCACGGAGGCATGGGGCACGGTGAGCACGAGACTCTCCTCAATGCGAAACACTGCATGCCCCCTCATGCACCCCGCCTGCCGCCGCCGCCGCACCAGAATCAGGTACCAGGGCTCTAGAAAGCGCACACACCCTGCTCGGAGGAGGGAAGGGAAGGAACGGAAGTGGGAGGGGAGGGGAGAGGAAGGAGGGTGCAGCAGCCGCTGCACTGGGATGAGGTACCAGGGCTCTAGGAAGCGCACACACCCTGCCAGTGCAAGGGGGTGGGGATGGGGGAAGTGGGGAGGGAAGGGAAAAAGTAAGAGGGAGCACTGGCGGCACCGGCATGAGGTACCAGGGCTCTAGGAAGCGCACACACCCTGCCCTGAGGAGGGAAGGAAAGGAGGGGAAGTGGGAGGTGAGGCGAAGCCCCCCCCATCAGCATTCCCATACCCCTTATAAGCCTCTTCACCCACTCACCAACGATCCCATACGCCTTGGTGACCAGGCGAAGACCCCCCGGGCTGTGATTGTTTCAAGCCAGGCTCAATAAACACACCCATCAGCAGTTCCATACCCCATATAAGCCTCCTCACCGACTCACCAACTCACCAAAACACCCACCCGCCAACGATGCCAATGCCATAGGCCTTGGTGGCCAGGCAAAGGCCCCCCGACCTATGCTTGTTTTGAGTTGATGCGAAACACACCCATCATCATTCTCATACCCCATATAAGCCTCCTCATCCACCCACCAACGATGCCATAGGCCTTGGTGACCAGGCGAAGGCCCCCGGAGCTGCGGTTGCCCTCTGCGAGTTGCTGCAGCAGCGCGGAGCACTGCCGGGCGGTGTACACCGTCGGATCCTCCACCAGCACCAGCTCCGACGGCTCGGATCGGTCAATCTTGAGAATTCGCTTCTGATCCTTGTTCTTGCCGCGGCCCACTATGTAGAATCGCTGAAATTGGGGAGGGGGAGAAATTGGAGGGGAAGGGAAGAAAGGGAGGAGGGGAGAAGGAGGGAAGGAGGGGAGGGGAGGGGGGTGGTGGGTTGGGGATGGGGAAGGAGGGGGAGAAAGGGAGAAAAAGGAAAGGGGTGAGAAGTGGTAGTGCGTATCAGAAGGATCCAGCCACTGACGCGCATGCACGTGGCAACCACCAATCTCACACGCACTCAACCCAACCCAACCCCTTAATCGCCCACCCCTAAGCCCCCTTCGACGCCGCGCACACGCCCACAGCACAGCACAGCACATCACAGCACAGCACAGCGCGCCGCTTTCCAGCGCATGCAGCGCAGCGAGGCTCGCCGAAACGGGCGGCACGCGCACCGCTTGAGTCTCGTAGACGAGAAACTTCTCCAGACACGCGTCACTCTCCATCACGCCACCCGCGCCGCCCGCCACTTGCCGCACACGCCGCTAGCCACTGGCCCCTCGCCCCTCGCCCCTCGCCCCTCGCCCCTCGCCCCTCGCCCCTCGCCGCTCGCCCCTCGCCCCTCGCCACCGCTCACGCCGCTCGCCGCTCGCTGGTTCACGATGCGCGCGCGGTTCACGCGGGGCGATGCTATGGGCGGCAGTGGGAGAGAGAGGCAGGCGTGGCCCACGAGGCAGAAGTGCCTCCCCGGGTGGAAGAGAGGGCTGGCAGTGGGGGACGAGGCGGAGTGAGGGAGCCAATGGGGTGAGTGCTGGAGGGGCACTGGAAAAGCGGCTCTGCGACTCTGGCGCTTCCGCGCCGCTTGGAACGGCCCTATTGCGACACACGATAACGATCGAGGGATGCTCACCGTGCCGCATCTCGTTTTAGGGAGTGGATTTGTCGCCTACCTCCTTTTAGGTGACACTCGCTAACGATGTTGTTCTATTTTTAAGTTTTGAACTGCAATGATTCTCCTAAACTGTTGAGGATGGAATTGTGAAAAATGTAAGCCAATATTGTGAAAGCCATCTGCTAATCCAAGCACACCCAATCTAGACCGCATATGCTTTTATGTGAGGAACTTTTCTATGATGTAGTTAAAAAGCGTTTTATAGAGTGCATGATGTATCGAAGGTGGAAAACAGATACAACGAATTTCCAAACCATTTATTGGAGCATCTTCCAGGTAACCAGGTCACATTGTAAAAAAATTATGCCAGTCAAGCGGGAAAAGAACTGCAAACATCACGATCTGGAATTACCAGTGATTTCAGCACTAAACGGCTAACTATACCGGTATTCATGTTGTAGGATGTAGTAAGGTATGCTGTAGGGGGTATAACACTTTTGGGGTTCATACTTGTATCAACCAACCATGCTTCCTAATCTCACCATTCCATTGCTTCCAACTTTGAGATGTTATCACGATTCATGAGAGCCTGGTTTGAGTGCAAGCAACACCCTTATGATGGGCGAGGACAGATTGCACAAGCACTTGTGCATCACCCACCCACACACAACTGCAGCTCCTTCAGCAGTGCCACCTTTGCTGCTTCTGCTCGCCGCTCAGTTGTTGTGAAGCGCCACCTCTATGTCTCCCTGCTGCTGCCTCTCCCACTGCCTTGACTTGAAATATAGATACGTTTAACAGAATGCTAACCCGCCAGCACACGTGCATCACCCGTCCACCCACAACTGCAGCTCCTTCAGCAGTGACACCTTGCTCTCCATGCTGGCGCCACAGCTGTTGTGAAACGCAACCACCTCCTCCCTGTGCTGCTGCACCCACTGCCTCTCCTCACACACCACCGCACTTGGTGGAAACAGAAATGCAGGCAAAACCCCGATCGTGATTCCTTCACCACCTGCCCCTTCACCTGCCCGTTCACCTTCCACTACACGTGCTATGGCATGGTTGAGAGCACTCTGAACAGCCACTGAGAAGGCAAGCGGTGTGCTCCCTCCATCTCCCTCTGCCTTGTCTGAAAGAGACGGCTCTTTGGACAGAGCCTTGAATGCTTGTAGTCCCCATGAGAGGGCGAGGACGTGAGTGGAGGTGGGGTGAGCGGAGGAGGAAGGAAAAAAATGAAAAAAAAAAAAATGAAGAAAAACGACCGGGAGGAAATTGGAATATGAAGAGCAATGGTCAACTCAAGTGTGCAAGCTGAACCAACCATTGCAACAGTCCACCAATCATTCGAAAAAAAACGTCCATGATAAATGAAGCTTTGGCTGAGCCAATGACACGTGGCTGTGCCAATTAAGAGCACAGGAGAGACGGGCACACTCACTTAGCCCGCACACCCACCTCAACCGCACCACACCCACCTGAACAGCACCGTGATGCTGGCAGCGAGGAGGCGCGAGGCCAGCAGCGCCGGCATCAGCAGACACGCTAGCCTGTCCCTCTCCTCCGCCTTCTCCCCTGCCTTCTCCCCTGCCTTCTCCCCTGCTTTCTCCTCACTCCCACTGCCACCTCAACCACAGCACACCCACCGCACCATACCCACCTCAATCGCACCATACCCACCTCAACCGCACCACACCCACCTGAACAGCACTGTGATGTTGGCAGCGAGTAGGCGTGAGGTCAGCAGCGCCGGAATCAGCAGGCACGCTAGCCTGTCCCTCTCGTCCACCTTCTCTCCTTCCTTCTCTCCTGCTTTCTCCTCGCTCCCACCGCTGCCAGTAGACGCAGCAGAGGCAGGCTGGCGAATGACATGGTTGGCAGGGGCGCTAGCAGGTAAGGGTACCTGAAGGACGGGTGCAGGGTGGTGGGGCGAGCAGGGGATGCTGTATGTAGCATTTCTATATTTCTATACAGCATACATTGCCCGGAACAGGAGGTGTAGTTGCTACCTATATCAACGAGTTGTTGAGAGGGGGACAGGTGAGAGGGAGACCTCAACTGATGCAGGGAGGGGGCAGTGAGGCAAGGCGGGTTAAGGATGGTACAGGGAGGGACAAGAAGCGATGCCTTTTTACGGGTCACACAGAGGTGGACGAGAACGAGCATGAGGTGTGCGATGGGGAACGAGCATGAGGTGTGCGATGGGGAACGGACACAAGGGTGGATGGAAGAACAGATATATTGGGGTAACTTTTGAGAACTCTCAGATTGGATGGGACAAGAAGGCACCCGGACGAAGAAACGGGAATTCGGGTTCTTCAGCATGGTACGGCAAGGGATGGGGCATGGCTAGAAGGGTTTCCCTGGAATCACACCTGAGTGGCAAGAGAAGCTCACCTGAGTGGCAACAGAAGCACACCTGAGTGGCAACAGAAGCTAACCTGAGTGGCAACAGAAGCTCACCTGAGTGGCAACAGAAGCTCAGCTGAGTGACAGCAGAAGCTCACCTGAGTGGCAACAGAAGCTCACCTGGCTGGCAACAGAGGCAAGGAAGTTGGTGGAGAGGCCGAGCTTTGAAATGGACCCCAGCCAACTCCTGAACAGGTCCGCCTCGCTTGCTGTGCTCACGCCATGCCATGCCATGCCATGCCATGCCATGCCACGCCACGCCATGCCATGCCATGCCACGCCATGCCACGCCATGCCATGCCACGATGTGCGTCCATCACATGACATCATGCATGCATGGCATGGCAGGCATGGGGGGAATGGGAAGGAAAGATGGATAAAGAAGGGCAAAAGACGATTAGATGAGAGAGTGTTGAAGGCAGCCTGGAAGTTGGAACAGCCATGCTGCATGAGCCTACGTGCTCTGTTCTGCCACCCATAGCACAACCACCGCAACATGCCTGCCACATCCAAAGGTGTGCTTTGAGTTGCCTTGAAACCCACATGCTTGCACATGTTGACCCACCCACTATGGGCATACCATGGCAGAGCACGGTGAGAATGAGCGGCCCATCCCGGGCCACACCAGGTGCCAGCCTCACCACCGCATCCACATGTGATGGCACCCACTCCGCCACTCCCATCAACCGCCTCCCCATCTCCTCCTCCCCTTCCTCGCCTCCCTGCCCCTCCTCCTTGCCTTCCCCACCACCAGCAGCAGCAGCAGCACCAGCACCAGCACCAGCAGCAGCAGCACCAGCACCACCAGCACCAGCACCAGCACCAGCAGCACCAGCACCAGCACCACCAGCACCAGCACCAGCACCAGCAGCACCAGCACCAGCACCAGCAGCACCAGCACCAGCACCAGCACCAGCAGCATCACCACCCCCATCAGCAGCACCAGCAGCAGCAGTACCACCGCCGCCACCGTTCCCATCACTTCCCCCCTCTCCCTTGCCCTCCTCTCCCTCTGGCGCCGGCGGTGGCAGCAGCCACACCCCAGCCTCAATCAACCTCTCAACCTTCTTCCACTTCCCCACCACATAATTCGCATGCACCATCACCACCCCCGGCTTAAGCCCCAAAAACCCCATCATATCATTTGCCATCAACTCTCCCGACGGGAATTTCTTCCCGGGCAGCACGCCAATATTCGCCTCTATCCCCCGCTCCCGCATAATCTTAATCACATCGAGTTGATGGTCCTGGTCTATCCCAATCTCATGCCCTCGCGCCACCATGCTGAATGCCCACATGGCTGCAAGGGCCTTGGCTCCGGCAGAGGGGCGGAAGAAGAGGAAGCAGGAGCACATGACCATTGGGAGGCCCGGCTCGGCCAGGCTGACCGTGTGATCTGGGCCGTTCGTCCAGGCTTGATCTGCGGTGATGAACACATCGAATTCTTTCGGCGGGGGAGGAGCAGGAGCGGAGTTGGGATCGGGTGAAGGGGAGGCAGGCGAGGAGGAGGCGGAGAGGGGAGCGAAGTATGGGAGGGGGTTTTGCAGGAGAGCGAGGTCGATGTCGGAGTAGAGGACGGAGAAGCCAAAGGCGAGGAGGTGCACGATGTAGACGGCCCGGCGAGACGCCACGCGGTGGAAGCCGGCTGAGTTGATCCCTATTGCTTTGGACACGTCTACGTTTTCGTCCTCGTGCACAAACTGACCCTCCAAGTCCAGCAGAAGGGCCTGCAGGGAGGGAGTGGGGAGGGGGGGAGGGGGAGGGAGAGGAAGAGGAAGTGCATGATGTAGTCAGCCCAGCGGGATGCCACTCGGTGGAAGGCCGCGGAGTCAGCTCGGGCACGACTCAACGTTTTCGCCTTCATGCACGAGCTGGCCCTCCAAGTCCTGGAGAAGTGCCTGGGGGGAGGGCGGCGGCAGCGGCAGCAGCAGCAGCAGCAGTAGCAGCAGCAGCAGCAGCAGCAGCAGCAGCAGCAGCAGCAGCAGCAGAAGCAGGGCGAGCATGACTGAACAGGCGGGATGACAGGCAGTGGAATCCCGCTGAGTTGATCCCTACTGCATTGGACACGTCCACGCCCTCATCCTCCCTTGTGAGACGTCTCAAAAGTCGCCCTCGTCCTCGCCTGTGCACGAACTGACCCTCCAAGGCCAGCAGAAGCGCCTGCACTGGGGAGAGATGGGGGCAAGGGCGTGGCGAGTAGCAAGGTGAGGAGGCTGAGTTGATCTCTATGGCTTTTGATGCGTCTACTTTCTCGACCTCCTGTGCGAATGGGCACTCCAAGTCCAGGAGGAGCGTCTGGGGGGGAGGCAGGGGGAGGAGGGGGAGGAGGAGGGAGAAAGGGTTTTGAGTTGATCCCGATGGCCTTTGAGACTCCCACTTTCGTCCTCACGAGTTAACTGACCATCTAAATCCAGCAGATGTGCCCGAGGGGGGGAGGAGGGGGGAGGTGTGGGGGGAAGGGCGTGCTTGGGAGAAGCAGGGTGAGCAGGGCAGGCGGTGTAAGGAAGGGGAGGTTGAGTTCATCTCGAAGCTCCCCATGTGCCCCTTTTCGAGGCCCCTCAAAGGCCATTCCTTGCTCGCATGCTCAAAGCTGTGCTTCTCCACGGCATTTGGTTTTACTCAAAAGCCACCCCCACACAAGCCTTCTCCCCACACAAGCCTTCTCCCCACACAAGCCTTCTCCCCATTCCACCTGCCCCATTCGTGCCTCCTCACCCCCCCTACCCTCTGCGCACCCCCCCCCCCATCAATCCCACCTGTCCCAATCACGCCTCCCCCTGCCTCACCCCCACCTGTCCCGGCCATTTCTTGCTGGCATAGTCAAAGCTCTGCCTCTCTGCCGCAAATGTGATGTAATGCCCTCCCAGCCCTGCCTTTCCCGCACTGACTCTTGAGTCGACTCACAACCCACCTGCCCAGGCCATTTCTTGTTGGCATAGTCGAAGCTCTGCTTCTCCGCAGCAAAGATGATGTAGTTGTTAGTGTTAGTCTTCAATCTCACAATTTGTACTTTGTATTTTCTATATCCTAGAGTAGTGTAGTTTGCACATTGTGTTTGGTTGGGTGTACACCTACATCCCAACCAAACCCAAATGTAATCTCCAACCAATCTCCAACCCACCAATTGGAGATTGCCTTGGGATTACCCCCAATCCCTAGAGATTGCCCCCGATTCCCTTCCCCATCCTTTTCCTACCCCTCTTGGATGTACTTAAAGAGCTTCAAGCTCATTACTAATGCATCGCTTCTAAGCCTATTTCTGACATGGTATCAGAGCCCTTCAACCGCATACGCGGATCGTGATCTTCTTACCTCTGCGGATACTCGTCCCGCAAACCTCGGCGAAGCCATCGTCAACCTCGTCGCCGGTGATTCGCGACATTCGTCGGCGGAAATTTTCCCGCTGCACCTTCCCGTCACTTTCGACGGTAATTTATCTGGTAAGCGCATCGTCCGCGCTATAACCTAACGCTCGCTTTCCTCCTCGTCGGGCCGCCGCCCGTCGCCCTGCAGCTTCTCGTCGGGCTGCCGCCCGTCGCCCCGCAGCTTCACGTCGGGCCGCCGCCCGTCGCCCCGCAGCTTCTCGTCGGGCCGCCGCCCGTCGCCCTGCAGCTTCTCGTCGGGCCGCCGCCCGTCGCCTCGCAGCTTCACGTCGGGCCGCCGCCCGTCGCCTCGCAGCTTCTCGTCGGGCTGCCGCCCGTCGCCCTGCAGCTTCTCGTCGGGCCGCCGCCCGTCGCCCCGCAGCTTCACGTCGGGCTGCCGCCCGTCGCCCCGCATCTGCACTCCTACCCCTTCCCCCTTCCCGCAGCTGAACAGGTGCAGCAGCGCAGCCGAGCAGCCGTGTAGCCGCGAAGCAGAGCAGCCGTGTAGCCGCGAAGCCGAGGGTGGTGGGTGGGGGGATGTGTGGGATCAGTGATAGATCTACGGAAATCGGCCGATTCGACCTAATTTTGGCGGCCTGAAAAGGAAAAAAAAAAAAAAAAAAAAACCTTCTACGTGACATTCCGACGCGGCCGACATTGACGATTTTCGCTATTCCGGTCCGTCGGATTTCGGAATCGCCGCGCTGCGCGCCGCTCGGTGACTTAAGAGCGGCGCTCCGCGCGAGAAGGGGTCTCCACCATGGCTCTCTCGTCTTCCACCATGGCGAACCCCATCACCCCGCTCCGCCTTGAAGCTGATGGCTCTAGCTCCAACTTCAAGGCGTGGAGCTACGGAGTTGACAAGCACCTCCTGAGCCGTGACGTGCAGGGCCTTGACCTCAAGGACGTCCTCCTCAACCGTGGCAAGGGGAAACAGCCTACTATTCCCCGTGAGCCGACCGAATCTCCAAGTGATACTGACGTGAGGGCGTACGAGGAGGCTGTTGAGAAGTACCGGAAATGGGAGAAGGCCGATGCTGCCATCATCAGCGTCTTCATCGCCTCCACCCCTCCCGAACTTGTCAACACGTTCCATAACTACCCTACCTCCAACGCCATCTGGAAGTACCTCCAGGATCGGTTCATGAACAAGACGGCGGTCGGCGTGGCCATTCTCATCCCTAGCATGTTTCAGGTCCGCCTTGAGGACTGCTCGGGAATGGCCGATTACATTGCCAAGGTGCAGACCATTCATGGCGAACTCAAGGAGCTGGGTATAGTCTTCCCCGAGCAAGCCCCTGCAGCCGCCCTACTTGTTGGACTCACCTCGGCATATGAGGTCACGAGGAAGATGCTCCTCACACTCTCAGCAGAGGACCTCACCTTTGCTAAGGTCTCCACCGCACTCCTCTCTGCCGAGAAAGACTCCACGGCTCAGGCCAAGGCGTACGCTATCCGCGCTCCCATGCCTCAAGCAAGTGTCGCAGCGGCTCTCGCCTCGGCGCCCTTCCAGCGCAACCGCTTTCCTCCGTGCCCCTACGTCGTCAAGTATGGGAATCGCAAGGGACAAGTGTGTGGTGGCACTAACCACCCCCTCGCCACGTGCTTCAAGAAGAAAGACGACGAATGGTACGCCATTCACGGAGTGGACAAGAAGCCGCCGAATTGGATGCGCTCTCGCAAGGCCAACCTAGTTGAGGTCCAGGACCCCGCTTCGACTAGTGCTAGTGATGCTGCTCCTGCTGATGTGCGTATCAACCTGTTAATCCCTGGCACTGCCATGATTAATGAAGCTACCTCACAGTACATCGGCTCATCACACGCACCACAATACATAGAGTTCACACTCGATAGCGGGGCCACTCACACCGTGCTCAAGGAGACCCTCTCCTTCAAACCTTACCCAACACCTATCCCTCTCTTAGGAGCTGACTTACTGCCCAACGGGTGACATGGCAGCTGACTTCCTAAGGAAGCGACTGCCACGCCAGCAGTACCAACACTGCTCCGAACTCAACAGAGTGGTCAAACAAGTCAAGTCGAGCTACGACCAGGAGTGAAGGGGGGTGTTACGAATAGTGAAATGTGATCGTGCACTCCTAACCGAAGCAAAGCGAGGCACGCAGTATCGAGGCACAAACACGATGAGTCAGAGCCGACTCGAGGCAGGGTGAACAGATGGAGTGGATCCAGACTGTCGGAGGCAAACGGCATCGAGCAGCTGCAGGGACGAGGGAATTGGCGGGAACAATTTCGTAACTGTACGTGCCGCTCGATTGGACTTGAATTTGAATAAGGGAATGTACCCCTTAGAGTACATGGCTAGCTAGGTCGATTCGAATTCCCGTGTACTCATATTTATACCACTGTATCTGCATGTTTTATTTCATCTCAAGCATTTTATATTCACTCTGCTATTGAGGTCAAGGGCCCACCACCACTCTTCAGTTGTGTGCGAACCTTCCTGAGGTGATCCTAGGGTCGATCAGTTTCTGATTGTAACAGCCTCAAAAAGTCGACCCAACCTAACTGGTCGGGTCGACCAGTAGTCAGTTGGGTACCCAGCAGGCAACCAGCAAATGTGCCACCCGCCATCTTTCGGGGCCCAACCATGCGAATAGTAATTAGGGCAGACCCAAAAGTCACTTCGCCAATGTGCTCCATCCAACCTTGATACTTGTTTTCCTGCACCAGTCGCGTCGTCTCCCGCCCATGTGTCACCTGCCCACAATGTTTACAGTACCACTAGTTGGTGTGTAGTTTGGTACGTTCGTGCCTGGTGGCCTCGACCGGTTGGAAGTGGGCGGTTTAGGGTTTAGGGTTTATGGTGCATAGACTATCTGGTCGCCTAGACCAGGTATGGAGAGTGTCAACAGGAGTTGTGTGTTAGCCCCGTCCTCGCTTGGGCGGAGCCGACCTCGTGGTCGGGTGTGCGG